CCTTTGTATACAATCTAGCTCACATTTCTCCCCATATTAACTCAGAATTTGTAAATTTCACTCTGGTTAAATATAATTAATTAGTGCAGGGTTTTCAACCTTTTTTGAGCCAAGGCACATTTCTTTCATTAAAAAAAATCCTGCGGCACACCACCAGCTAAAAACGTGAAAAAAAGCTTATGTTAACAATATAAGTGTTGTGTTATTAATATAAGCTTTTTGTTTAACATTGAAGAATGACGTTATATTATAACGTCTTGAATTAAAAATATGAATCTAATAAATCTTTAATATTGACACTCACTCAGTGTGAAACCTAGGGCTGTTTGGATGAACACAGAAATGATATCCTGGCAGGAATCAATCAAAGACACACATGAAGCTCTTCCTCCACAGCTCTCAGTCTTTCTCTGTTTTTAGTTTTTACAGCAGTCAGGCTTGAAAAGCTCACCTCACATAGGTATGTTGTGGAAAATGAGAGCAATATCAAAACAGCTTTGTTGGCCAGCATGGGGAACTCCTTGGCAGCTGCCAACCAAAAACTGCCCAAAGATAGGTCTGCAAAACTTAGCTTGAGACCACGATCTTGTCTCATTTCAGTTAGTTCCTCCTGCTCCTGTAAAGTCATGTCCTTTCTAAAAGCTGATGCTGAGCTGAATGGGTCCCTAACCCAGTCAAGGCACTCTGTGGAGGCTGAAGAGAAATAAAATGACATCTTCTCCTCAAGAGTTTTCAAATGTTTAACTATTATCTCACACAGTGCAGCAGTATTAACATCTTGCCATTTCTTGGTGAGTGGGAACATTTCAAGATTGCCACTTTCCACATGTTGCTGCCAGAGTTGCAGTTTTGAACGGAATCCATTTATTTTATCTGTACTTGTAAGCAGGTTTTTGCTTCGGCCTTGCATTCGTGTGTTCAGTTCATTCAGGTGATGAAAAATATCTGCCAGGTATGCCAGCCTTGCACACCACTCAACACTTGCAAGCAGCTTTGCTTAATCGGACCCCTCACTTGTCAGCTCATACACACGGGCCAGCACCTTGCCGCACAACAACCACCGGACCTCAGTATGAAACAGCAAGGCTTTATGCTCCGCCCCCATTTCCTCACACAAAGCTGCAAATATGCGACTTTTCACAGGTCGTGACTTCATAAAGTTTACCATGCGCACAACATCATCCAATGCAGGTCTGCTGGTAAAGTCTTGGCTGCGAGGGCTTCGCAGTGTAACAAACAGTGTGTAACGATCACATCTGGGTTTTTTTCCTTCACTCTGCGTACAAAGCCTTTGGTGCGCCGACCATGGCTGCAGCTCCATCAATGCAAACAGTCGTGCAGTTTTCCCACTTAAGTCCTCCATTTTCCAGATATTGTGATGTGACTCAAAACATTTCCTCTCCTGTTGATTTTTTCTGGCAAAGCCTTGCAAAATAGAAAGTTTTCTCTGATTGTATCTCCATCTACAAAACGCACATTGGCCAAGAGTTGAACATCTCCACTNTTAGAATTCAGCCTTTCACTTCCTGAGAAATTTTCCGGCAACCCAAGTAAGTTCAAGAGATTTCTGTTCCAGTGTCAGTTATTTTTTGAGTTTTACGAGTCGAGCTTTCTAGATGATAAGAGCAGAATAGCTTTTGTCGTGTCTTTCCTGTCCGGAGAAGCCCTTGAATGGGCGGAGACCAGATTTCCATTGAAAACCTATTTTAATTGTACTTATGAGAGATTCATTCAGGAGTTTGAAAGGACCTTTAATCAGGTTACTAATAAATCTATCGTTTCTAGTGAACTTTTTGAAGCAAAACAGGGAGATAGATCCATTGCCGAGTTTTCCCTTGATTTCCGGGTTAAATCAGCCGTTTCCGGGTGGAACGAGTCGGCGCTCGAAACCGCTTATCTCCAAGCTCTGAACGCACCAGTCAGGAATGAGCTAGTATATTACGATGAGCCAGCTAACTTGGAGGACCTTATAGAGCTAGCTATTGGGTTAGACATGGAACTGCAAACCAGATTCAGAGCCATCCAGCATCAGACTCATAATTCCAGTTCCCTTCCGTGGCGGGTTAGTTTCAGCTCTCATATACTTGACCTTCACTTAGCTCCATCCGTTAAAGGACTCAAAATAGGCCCACCAGTTACACATCAAACAGTTAGTGTTCCCCGCCAACCTGATCAGACACCTGAACCCGTCACCTTTGTTTCAAAACCTGTTCCTATGCCTGATTATCTAGCCCCTGAACCAGTAATCCATTCTGGAACTCTAGTTTTTCAACCCGTTAACTTATTGCCAGAATCAGTCATTAAACCTGTTAGCTTAGCTCCTAAGACCCCTCGGCGTAAGAAACGGCGTCGCCTTAAGTCAGCTCTGTGCCGTCTAGAGACCCCTGGGTCAGCTCTGTGCCGTCTAGAGACCCCTGAGTCTGCTCTGTGCCGTCTAGAGACCCCTGAGTCTGCTCTGTGCCATCTAGAGATCCCTGAGTCTGCTCTGTGCCGTCTAGAGACCCCTGAGTCTGCTCTGTGCCGTCCAGAGACCCCTGAGTCTGCTCTGTGCCGTCCAGAGACCCCTGAGTCTGCTCTGTGCCGTCCAGAGACCCCTGAGCCTGCCCTGTGCCGTCCAGAGACTCCTGAGCATACGTTTAAAAGGGCTTCAGAGTTCGGAGTTGGTGGAAATATGCCTCCAAGAGCCTCTCAGCAGGGGCCACAAACCGTCAAGAGCCCTCTACAGGAGCTTCAAACCACTTCAGAGACTGAACGTGTGCCTCCATGGGTGATCTCCCCTGTTCCTGAGGTGGAGCCACAGTCGGTGGTTTCCCCTGTTCCTGAGGTGGAGCCACAGTCGGTGGTCTCTCCAGTTCCTGAGGTGGAGCCACAGTCGGTGGTCTCTCCAGTTCCTGAGGTGGAGCCACAGTCGGTGGTCTCTCCTGTTCCTGGGGTGGAGCCACAGTCGGTGGTCTCTCCTGTTCCTGGGGTGGAGCCACAGTCGGTGGTCTCCCCTGTTCCTGATGAAGAGCCACAGTCGGTGGTCTTCCCTGTTCCAGACGTTGAGCCGCGATCGGCGGGCTCCTCAGTTCCTGTCCAGGAGACGCAGGTGGCGGTCTCCTATAGCCTGTTCCTGAACCACAGTCGGTGGTCCCCTCTGTTCCTGACCTGGAGCCGCAGTCGG